TTGTGGTGGTCAACAGTTGACCCGACCAATGTTTCCAGGGTCATCCATCAACTTCATGGGAAGCAAAACGGGCAAGTGTGCGTGTAATTTTTGTGAGGCCCGCCGCACACTTATCGAATAACGTTCTTGCTTCATAGGGTACGGGGTATATGGCAGCACCTATGTTTGCTTGGCCCAATAAGCTCTCGGTTCTTGAGAGCAGAGCCTTTCCTACCATGCATCCATCCATCAGTCACATCACTCACTCATTCATACATTCGTTATTTCTGGCTCGCTCTCCTCTACTTCCTGTTTTTGCTTGGCACTTCATCAACATCACAGTCAAAATCACAAAACAGTTCTGCGTCCTTCCACCCACAAGCAGAAAGCGAATCGCACTCTCTAAGTAGCCTTAAACAAGGGGTTAGACGAGGTTTACAAATCTGTAGGTCGATTCTTATAGATGTATGTTTAGAAGGTATTTTAATGCAGTTTACTTAACATAACAGCTGAAGTATGTTGTCAAATGTTAATGGATTGCTCTCTTAGACAAGCTACTGAGCTACGAATAAACTTAAATATCAAAATAGGTAACTTCATTAGCAAAACTTTTGAAGCGGAAAGTTTAAAACTAAATTCGATTCAATTGCAAATTCTACTTAACGAATTCATAGATATCAAATCAATATCTAATTCGTAAAATGGAAATATAATATAATATATTTAATTATAAATTAAACATTTTCTTAAATGTTTATATAAATATTTTATTTGGGAGTAGTTATAATTAAATTATTTACCAAAATTGCAAACAAAACCAACTAAGTTAAATTAAATTTAATTTTATTTATATAAATGATAAAGAAAAATGATCAAAATATTTTGAAATAAATGTTTAAATATTTTTTGTTATTTTTTTAAATAAAATGAAATAAACTTGAATAAAATAAATTACAAATTTATTTATTTTATTTAAATAAAAAAAAACTTGAATAAAATTAATTACAAATTTAGAAAAGAAATATGACAAAAATAATTTAAAACATTTTACGTTTTGAACATTCGTTTATTTATATTCGTTTAGTTTTTAGTATTCTATTTCGACTTATCTGAAATCGTGTCAACTTTTCGATTTGCATTTTCCTGCGTAAGCATTCGCAGCTGTGGCCAAGTTTTAAGCTTGTTTCTGCTGCTTAAGCAATCAATAATTCTTTTATTAAGAAATATTGGCTGTCTACATGGAAGGCAAATGTTTTCGAGTCTATATATGTGTGTGTATATGTCTAACACATACTACAATGAGTAAACCTTTCGATAACTATTTGGATTCCCGATCCAACTGCTGTTGGCTTTCCCATTTCGATGCCAGCTTAGGAGCATGCATCGCAGTTGATTTTCAAAATATATATGCCGGGCAGGTCTGAGCCTGTGCTCCATCCTCCTTCTCTATCAATATAAACTACCCACATCTAACTTTTGCCTCACCAGCTACGAAGCGCCCTATTCCGCAGTATTTTGTATTTGGAATTTGTATCTGCTATTTGAGAGTCTGCACGTTAATATTTGGATTGCGTGTATTTGTGTTTGTTTTCTGGTCTGTGTTTCCTGTGCAGGGATTGTGGAGGGCCGTTACCGTGTTGCCAAAAATAAATCCGCTATAAGCCCTTTGCGCAAAAATGTTGTTTTTATTCCTCCTATTTTGCATAAAAACGTTTCGCATTCGCATATTTAAATTTCGTTTCTCTCTCTGATATTTGAAATTCGATTTTTGTACAATTTTATTTTTTTATTCTTACTTCTTTTTTCACTTCCCGTTCGGGTCCCTTCGCCCCTTTTCGATTCCTAATTCGAGCAGGTTTTTTAGTTGCATGCTTATCATTCAATAGGCTCCATTTGTGCTGCGTGTATTTTTCACGTGTGCCACGTGTCTGTTTATTTATCCTTCAAATTCACACACACCCGCACACACACACACGCCCATATATACCCACACGCATACCCACACATGCTGCCTGTCTTGTTTGCTTGCGTGTGAAAATTCACAAGTGCGAGTGGATTTTGGGGTCAGGCTTCGCTTCAGGTTTACAACTAGCCGAGCAGAATTTTAAATTTTTTACAATGATTCCAATTGACAGTTAAATAAGCAATTCGAAACATTACGCAATATACGTATACATATTTTTCCATTTGAAGTCCTCTCATCTGACAGCCATGTTGAGCTGTAAACGAAACCTATGAAAAAAGTTACAGACGTATTATATAATATTGTGGATAATTAACATGTCAGCCATTTCGATGTGTCCAATTATTAAATGTTTTTCGATTTTGATGGTAGCTCAAAGCCAGCTGAATTCCAATTCATTTCATTACAAATAAAGGCGAAAGAATTATTAAGTCTGTTGGAAAACAATATTTTTTCATTTTAATTTCTATTAAATTTTTTAAAAACTGAGTTTCATGCAGTTCCATTCCAGTTCTTTCCAAAATATTATAATACATAAAATATTTTCTTATTACATTCCTTTGATTTTCATAACACTTTGTGTTCTATAGAATTCCATTCCGTTCCATTTCGATATACCAATATTGGAATATTGAATAAAGATTGTTTTATTAATCAGTTTCAATTTCATACTTTATTAAAATTATTTCTATATTTTTTTATACTGTTCCATTCCATCATACTAAATTTCTTGCAGTTCCATTCCAATTTATTCCATTGAAGTAAGCAATTAGATATTATTATAATTAAATTTCATTACATTTCATAATATTTTGTGTTCCATTCCATTTCGTTCCAATATACCAATAGAGAAATACTGTATAAAGATTGTTTTATTTTTCAGTTTTAATCGTATATTATGTTACAACCACTCCTATATTATTTCATGCCGTTCCATTCCATTTATAAAAATATAACGCGATAATTTATAGAATATTCCAAATTTCCATTTCGTTTTTTTTTTATTTGAAAGCAGAAGAACTAATAAATAAATGTGACCGAAATTTCTTTCTAAATTCATTTTATTTTGACCTTAAACAATGTTCCATATAATTCCATTTCGTTCCGTTTCTATGTGTGTGGCAATAAATTTGTTTCATTCTTACTAATCCTATTTCTGCTATCACAATTTTAAACCATTTGTAATCTCGATTAGATAGTTTCTCTATGTGAATTAGTTTCAATACATTTTCTGTTGCATACTTTGAAGGGCGTGGAAATGAAATATGGGGATTGGTAATGAAGACCGAAAATAGTTTTAAATAAGTCCAAGATATTTAACTTAATTTGGGAAATCACATTGAAGTTCGAAGTCATGACAATGCATGGCAAAGCGAATGCAATTGCGTTCAAGGAGCCAACGGGATGCGTGCTGCAGCCAACGCAAAGGTCAGCCCAAGGACAAGGCGAGACACCAGTGAAATGCATAAAAAAAAATTGTGCTCTTATTAAAATCAATATTTAGTAGAAGAGAGACTAGACTAGGTGCGGGGCTAGGGAGGTCGGGCATTGTGCTGGGGTATTTGCATTAAATTATGCGACGAGCAGCGGAAATGTTTGCCATCAACTGTGAAGTGGAATGGCAAAGGGGCGAGGGGCTGGGCCGGGGTGGGAGGAAAGCAGGGGTAGCATCCAGCAGACGTAGAAGATGAAGCAGAGCGCAGCATCGTTAAGTGCGCCGGAAACAATTTCACTCTTCAGCACAAGGAAAGCCATAAAAGGAAATAAAAGGAAAGCAAGCAACAAACATCGACTGCGACGTCGACAGCGACGGCGGCAGCGACAGCATTGAGGCATTTGTTAAAGCGAAGCGCCGCAAAACAAATTGTAACAGAAATCCTTCAAACATCTGTGAATAACTCTCGCCTGCAATTCAGTCAAAGTCCCAGTTCCAGACCCCATTCACACACACACACGCACACATATGTGTGTGAGCATGCGTGTGTGCGCGTGCGTGTGTGTGTGCACTTGTATTTGTAATTGTTTCCTTTTTGCTTTATGAGTTTTTCATGTATCGCACAAAGTGTCACCCTATTCCAGCCCAGCTGCTGCTCCGCCTCCCGCCCTATCGCAGGCCCCGCCGCCCACTTTTCCCCTATTAGCGACCGGCTTGCACCTGCGTGGCAGCTCTCCCCTCCTCAGGCTCTTCCCAGCGCTCTACTTACGAGGCGCAACTTTTGTGGAGCGCATTTTAATCGTCGTCATTAAGGCGGCAGCGCGTGCAAAATGTCCTTTCATTTCAGTTTTGTATTTCTTCGCTGCGTCTTCATCCCACTAGCAGGATATATTTTATGTTTTTTGTTTTATTCTCGAGTGCTTAGCCATTGCAAGCTGTCCAAAAACGACATCAAAGTGTTCTAACACAATGCCACCAAGGGGAGGACCATGAGCAGAGCTGCGCATCCAGCAAGTCTCCAAAGCATTCGAAATATTTATAAAAAAAACATAGGCTAAAAATAAATAAATAACTAATTAGTTATATACCAAAGGCAAATAGTTGCGAATGATAAGATCAAGACTTTGTCAGCTAAAAGCAACTCTAGATTCTAGAGGAATATTTATTGCTGAGCGTGAAGTGGAATATTAAATAAAATAACGATTAATTCTAGGCATTTGCAAATAGAAATAGGAAAAGAATTTCATGAGGAGTGTTCTTTTATTACTAATGAAAAGAATAACATTTTAAAAATATTTATTCTTAAGCCTTGGTCTTCTTATGCGTTTGAAATAAGCAAAGAATTAATCCATATTTATTGATATTATATATGAAAATGTTTCATAAAACTTGATTTTCTACAAGACTTTAACAATATATTTTATTTTCTGAAATACATCTGATTTAATTTCATATAAAAAAGTCAGTAAAAGCTAACTCACTTGAGGCACACCTAATATAAGGGAATACCCCTGTTTATCTTACCTATATCAAACTATTTAAGTTTTTAAAAATTTTAAAATAATTTTAGCTAAAAGCGAAAAGTTATAAAAATTGCATAGAACACAACTTTTTATCGTTCCTGCATTTTCACTTTTCAGATTGTCTCGAATTCCACTTAATTTGCTCCCGTTGGGGCAGGTTTCTATTGCGGGAATTACACGCTTCCTTTCTTGCATACAAAATCTCTGGAAATTCTTAGAAAGTTGAGTGAAGCACATTAACTTGGAAGGAATAAGTCGGCTTATCATGCTCGCAATATGGCATTCGAAAGCATCTGAAATTATGAATGAGTTGAGTCAATTGGAGCGTATTTACTTTGCTGGAATACCCCTGTTTATCGTGCTTGCTGCTTAGCATTTATAATGCGCTGCCCCCAAATGCTGACACCTTCAGCCGAGCGTAAAAAATGGTGAAGCAAAATCATTAGACACAGCTGGACGCCAACTGGGCTCGACTAATAACTTTCAATTGTGGTTATGATGGACCCAAGCCAAGTCCAGCCCCAGACCAGGCGCCGAAGCTGGAAGCCAGTCGCCAGTAATCAGGAACCAGAAACCAGAGACCAGAAACCAGAAACAGGCCTTGTCCTTGGCCACCTATTAAATATTTACAAAATGTGTTGTAAGTAGGAAATTGTGTTCGTTCACTTTTCAATGGACCACAAAGTCATTCAACCCAGCAGCTCGAAATGTCCCTCAGTTGTCCATCTATTCCTCCTCGTTCTCTCTGTCTTTTATTTATTTATTTATTTTATATGCTTGTGCGTCGCTTGCCTCGTTTTGTGCCTCGTTGTGGGCCATTTTGCAAAAGCACAAAACTTATTTTAATTTTAATAGAAATTAATGAGGTAATCTTCTTTCGGCATGCGCCTTGTGCCTTGCGTCTTGCGTCCTGTTGTCCATTGCCCTTTCGCTTGCTCCCTTTCAGCAAATGGTTTTCAATTTGAAGCAAAATGGTGAAAACTTTCTGAAAAACCAAAAATGCGGCCGTGCCACCTTCTTTGTACAGATTTATAATTGTTTGCCGGCAGGGGACGCGGACGCGGACGTGGCAACATTTTCCTTAAATACGTATTTAACTGAGCAGCTGGGGCGAAAATTTGTTGCCAGGCTGTGTTGGGCAATGCTCGGCTTTGATTTGAGACTAAGGCATTTGGAAGGGGGCCTCAAAGAGAGATAAGAATCTTAAAATTAGTTTCCTTATCACGGCTCAATTTCGGCTTATTCCACAGATGCTTCCAATAACTCCACCGTTTTCACTGTCTACTCATAACTTCAAGTTAATCAGGCTTTGCTATGACATCAGTGCAAATAAAACTTTTACAATTAGGCCGCGGCACGACTTGAAGGAGACTTCAAAATAACTCTAAAGCCAAAGGCCTGAATTTACCTTCCTTCTCTCGCATTTCCTAGGCAAACGTGTGAGCTGCCAGCATAGACATTTACGTGTGCTTCCCCCTTTAAATAAGCCTAAATACGGGCAATTAACGAAGTTATATACATGTAGGGTATATGCCATATATATATGCTTTAAAACTGAACTTAAATTTATATTCAATTGAGAACTTGAATTAAAGAAACTGAAAGTATGAGAATTCATTTGAAATTGTTGCTTTAAACTAACTTTTTACTCTGAATCGAATGAAATTGGCAATATTACTTTTGTTTAGGTGTAGGCGAAAGAAGGCGTGGCAGAGCACACACAACTGTATTTATTAGAAATAAGTTTATTTTGTCTGTCCTTCAGTCTGTCTTTACCTAAGAGAACAGACATCTAGAGGGCTCCTTTTGCATTATATTTGTTTCAAATAATCGATAACTTTCCTCACTTGCAAAAATCGATTAAAATTATAATCGAGCTTTGGTTAGAGAAAGAATATTTTGTCTTTACTTTTGTGCATATTTTATAGAATTTTAAAAATATGTATTTTAACTTTTTTATGCTTTTTAAGCATCTGTGTATATGTGTGCGTGGCTGTGTGTATGCATGTCTCCTTGTGTGTATGTGTGCATAGCTTCTAGTTATTCGATATGTATGACTGTACTAGGGTATCTACTGTCGACCACACTCTGGTAACTTCTTACTTATCTTTAGTTTTTAGTCTTGCGAAGCAGCTTAATTTGAGTACTTTCGTCGTTAAATTATTTCTATATTAAAATCTTAAAATTTATATTTTGCTTCTAAACAATGTGTAAATAATTGAATTATTAATTATTATATAAAACTTGCATTATAAATTTTATATTTCCTATAACTGCTATAAACGTAAAAGGTTGGCTTTGAAATTTCTATGCCTTCGTAATTGCTGCCTTCCTCAAAGTTTTAATTGTAAGAAAATATGTAAGAAGTAATAATTAAATACAAATTAAACAAAGACATAATTAATAGTCTTATAAATATTTTACAAGCATTTTTCCCTTATTTTCGGAAACTATTTCTCCCATTCATTAACTAATAATTTATAATTAATAAAAGTAATTAGTCATTTTATAAATATTCCAAGCGCATTTTCAGTTTAATTTTCCTTATTTCGGCACTTTAACATGAGCTGCTGAAGAAATCAGTTCTCGTCATTTGTTTTTTATGCAGGATTTCTCGTTGACCCCCGCAGCGATCTGTGCGTCCCAAGACTCCCTCGCTCCGTCCCTCTCTCTCACTCTAGTTTTCCCTCTGTGTGAGCTGCCGCTGGTCGAGCGTTGACCGAACGCGTAATTTATGCAAATATTCCAATTTGCTGAGCTGAAACACTTGGAAGGCGAGAAGCGCTGCCGAAATAATTGCGTCGATTTATATGACGAGAGTCGACAGCGAATGGCGCCTGCTGCTGCTGCTGCTGCTGCTGCTGCTGCTGCTGCTGCTGCTGCAGCTGCTCATTACCCCTTCTGTGTGAAGTATCCTGCATCCTGTGAGCAATGTGCCCGGCTTCTTCCATCAACTGGGTACTTTTCGTACACGAATAAACTTTATGGCGCCATTGTAGCAAAGTGTCGCCGTCGCCATCGCCGTCGCCGTTGGTCCTGCGCTGGGATGACATAATAAACTTGGAGGATATTTGAAATTCGAGTGAATTTGAAGAGCTGTGGCAACACGAACGCACTACGAAAGCTGCGAGGCTTCATTACACGAATCCAGCGACGCCTGCCTTGTCCGCTTATTAACATAATGAAACAATGAAAGTGGGAGGCAAGGAACGCAGCTCCAGCTGCTGGATGCTTGGTCATAAGGGAGCAACATCATCATTGCTCGAGCAGCTCGCGAAGCTGGCGAAGCTGTCAAATGAACGCTATATCTTTGAGCATTATGCTAATAAATTTACAGAAATGAGAAACTTTCGGCTCTAATGAAAAAACGCCCAAAAAGCAGGCCCAAAGCCTGCGTCCAGATTGAGAAATCAAAAGTAAATACACCTGACTACAAAACTGAAGTTGAGCCAAGCCAAATTTGATAGGTTATCAGGGCATGACCAAGGGACTTATGTGAAGTGCTCCTCACTAAGTCGATAGTTTTTCTCAGCACAAAAAGTGATAGAACCTGGAATACTCTGTAATTTTTCTACATAAATTGGAATTACTTTTTGTTTAGCTACTTTTGTCAAGAGCCTTGTAAGCTCCTTGCCTTTTGGGTCAAGTCGAATGACATTTATTTGCAGGGTATACTTAAGTCCTGCTCAGCATTTAATAAGCTTGAGACGGCGCCTGGGCAGAGGGTGTTATGCTTGATGCCTGATGGCCAGCTGCTATTTTTGTGGAATTACGTAGCACGTGCGAGCTTCCAATCATCGAGCCGTGTGGCCGCTGCCTGTAGAGGTCGTCAACTGGATTTGATTTGCGCCTCCGCCGGTTGTCGTTTGTCGGTTGTCGGTTGCCTTGGTTTATGTCGAACGTCCTGTCTTCCTGATTATAAGGCACAAATTGCCAGCGTCGAGGCTTAGGCTCGGCCTTGCGCTGCCGCCACGTTGCTCCTTGGCAGCGCAAAATATTTATTTTATTTATGACAGTTCAGTTTTAGAGGCATTCGGGCCCAGAGCCGCGCCGCACAAATTGCCAAATTCACTTTGAGCCACAGCCGTGGCAAACTTTGACTTCCTTCTATTTTGACGCAATCAGTTTAATGCGCAAAATATAATGCGCGCGCCCATCGAGCTGGAAATCAATTCTGATTGCCAACTATAGGCATCCCTGTGACCCTGTGCTGTGCCAATGTTTCCGGCATGGCGCAACTCCAGCTCCAACTGAATATCATTTTTTGATTACTCGACTTTCAAGTTCTGTTCCGGTAAACTACTTTTGCCTTCAGTCATCAAGCAGCATTAAAGATGTATAAAGATTGTGTATGACAATGATCGATATTTATCGATAAAAGTATTGCAAATAAGTGCACTTGAAAGCAATCGCTCTAGCTTTAAATTGCTTTAAAGATTGATTTCCATGCGAATTAATCGATACATATTGATTACAGCTTATCGAAATATATATTTTGAATAGTACAACAATTAGCTCTAGTCGTAGAATATTAATATATTTTTATATATAATTTAAGGTATATATAATATAAGTTGTATAGCCTTGCCAAGCAGCTTTACACGCAGGAAATGGAGTTTGTTAATATTTTTGATATTTTAAATAAATATATGCAAAGAAATCCTTTTTATTTGGAAGAAATGTTTAAGTAAGTCAAATATTAAATTTATATAATAAATTGGCTATGGATTACTTAGAAATTGAAGACAAATCAAATTTTAATAATCAAGCAAATTAGATATTGAAAGGAAAGCAATGTAGGGAGATTCTGAATATTCCAATTGACAAATTGAATGCACTTTTCGCACACCTAATTGAAATATATATGATATGATATGATGAAGAATTCAAAGAAATTAATACATATAAGCAACGATTTAAGTGACTTTGAAAAACTTTTCAATTCCAGTTTATATCACATTGCAAGAAATCCAATTGGATATATTGACAGCCTGACTATGGACTATTTCAAGAAAATTAGATGACAGTCCAATTGGATGATAAGTAAATTGGAGAGTTGCTGATTGGAGAATGCATATGTGAATAATTTCATGCATTATGAGACGGTCGAGTCATGCTTATGCAGATAAGATTGTATTAGATAAGATGAGATAAGATGAGATGCAGATTTGGTTCAGTGTGGCACTATCTTTTGATTTTTCAGTTATGCCACAGGCTGCTATGGAGCGGAATCTCTTTATGGAGTCGTATGAATACGAACTCCCCTCTTCATACGCTATGGAGTTTTTGTTAATGCTGCCACGCCCCCCAATGCAAAACTGCTAAAGGGGCGTAGCAGTGAGACGGTGTGACTTGGGCTTGGGCGCGCTGTAGCCGCCAAATGCTTTTCGCTTAATGAGTTTTCTACTTGCGGTTTCGAGGAAAATTTGCGCAAAAATGCGCCACTTTACCTACAACATGAAGTGGAGAAGGCTTTTACCTTGACTCCACGGCAAAAGTACGCCCCGAGCGGGGGTGGAGGCGTGGCGAAGTGGCAACGTGGCAGCGGCTGTGTTGCTGTGTTCGTTGTAAATGTTTTAGTGGTTACTGCGTTTAAGTCATTAGAGAAAATTCTTAGCTAAAGTGCGGCTCAATGGGTTGCGACGACAAGCGACGCGTGAGGACGGCAGGGGGGCAGCCAGAAAGACAGGTGAGAGGCGGATGGGAGGCGGGCACAGCTAAGTCTTAGAATTTGGCATCTTTTGT